TGGGCTTACCTTCTCTCCCCCCCCCCCCAAAAAAAAAAAAAAAATCTAGTAAACACTTTACAGCCATTGGGAGTTGATCCATGTACTGTGGTTTTTAAACTGTTAATATTTAACATAATGTTTTATCTTGTAAATTCTGATTGAAAAGGTATGGTTTACTCAGTCTAGAGGTTTAATGATTACAGTAAAACTTGGAATAGGATTGCCTCCAAATGAGCTGTCCTACTTTTAAGTCCGTATTAAGTGTCAGTTTGCATTGGTCTTGTGTGTTTTGATTTGGCCCAGGGCTAACTGCTGTCAGCAGCTAATCTTTTTTTGTAGCCTGGGTAGTCGCTTAGGACAAATAAAAGTATATAGTTTTTTTTTTTTTAATATCAGTATGGAATGTATTATGTAGATAGGGAGTTGCCCAAGCTTAATGAGCTGCATTAATACATAATCTATCGCAAATGTGCGGGAACTGTCAAGAGGAAATCTTTCTGTTGTCCTGGTGAAACAGTAAGCCTGAAGGTGCTGGTACTCAGGGTGGTGCTACATCCTCGCTCTCTCTGTTTCCCAGCCTGCCACACAACGCTGCCCAGCCCTGCTCAGTGCTGCTGCTGGAGGAAAACTCTGGTGTCTGACCTACAAAATATCAGTGCCAGGCTGCCACAGAGCCTGGCTAAAACAAGCTCACCTGTACTGTGCGAAGGGCCTTTGCGGTTCAAAAAAAGCTGTGAAAATGTCGCAAAGAATCACTCCACCTGCTCAGGAAAGGAGTCTCTGTTAGTTGTCTGTGTCCCTGGGGCACATCGACGGTGAAGCAGAGGAATAAGGACACTAAAGAGAAGTCTACCACGTGAGCCCCTATTGTTGAAAGCCTCTACTTTTATTCATCCAGCTTGCAGTGCGGCACTGAGGTACGCTGCTTAGCCTCGTCCCTATTTGGGTGCAGAGTTGTCTGGAAATTCTCAATAAATCTATCCCCCCTTTTCACCTTTTCTTTCCATTTGAGCGTTTCTGCCAGCTAAGGGCCGCCAAACTCAGAGCGAACGATAGCTCTGAATTGATTCAGGTGATCGAAAGACAGGCACCAAAACTGCTTCCTCGTTTCTGGACACTGTCGACCTACGATGAAGGCAGAAAAAAAGGCAAAATGGAATCCCTGCTAGGGTTGTCTGTTTGGTACTGTGCCATCTCTTCATTATTGAGAAGCGCTTTGCTAAGTGACTGGAGCTGCTCTGTGCACATCCCATTATGATTACCTATGGAAGGAAGGTTAATCTGTCAGAACCTGGGAACCTGTGACAATCCTTTTATTATGTGCTGACCTTTTAATTCCTCCAGTAGTGTGTAATTCTTTTAGGATTCCTTTCCAGTGCTTCCACTGGAAAATGTCTTTGCCATCCAGCAATCTGATTGTATCATAGCGTGTGAATTGTGTTGAGAGGGTGGAGGCGCTCTTGAGGTGTTAGGTTAGCTTCAGTCTCTTTGCCAAGGTAGCCAAGCTTCCTGACCCTGCAAGCCATATTCAGATACATCCTCCAGGAGAGATGAGGGAGCTCTGGAAGCTGACAGTAGCTCTCTGGTCACCCCATCACGTCAGGATGGGACATTTTCGGACATGACATGTAGCCTGATGTCAGGGCAACTTGGCTGAGATGTTATCAGCGGTTCCTGGCACGTGTTCTGATTATCCAGCATTGGCCTTGCCAAAACGCGGGTGCTTTTGGTTGGGTGAGGCAGCTCTGCTGCTGGAGCAGCATTTGGCCTGGACGTGAGCTATGTGAGCCTCAGGTTTGTCACCTCTGAATGCAGCTCTCCCTGCTCAGTAACAGGTGCTGCCAGAAGAGGTAGCAGGGGACAGGCAGGAGTTCCAGCGGGGTCAAAGCCACAACTTCATGGTAAAAAGGCGTAGGACTAGACTAACCGGTATACGTTTAGTATGTTTCTGCATTGTTATTCCTGCTTTTGAAATACTTCCTAGCAGTTTGAAGAGGCGAATAATCTACATGGCAGATAATCTACGTCTCGTTGTCGTGGCGCAGAAACTTCCTTGCGGGCAAATTATGCCACCAGCACTTTCACTCGCAGGACATAGCTTCATAGGTCACTGTAGTGGGTGAAGGAGCTCATGTGACCAAAAACTTAATTTCGTCATGAAAGTTGGACCTGTGTCTGTAATGCAGAAGGCTTGAAAAAGGATGATCCTGGTAACAAAATTTATTTACATGCAATATTAGCAAAGAAAACATCAGAAAAATGAATGGTAACTACTGTTTAAATACTTTTTTAATAGAGGAAGAAAAGTAGTGGCTTCAAACTGGGGTAGCTAAATTTAGGCACATAAATAATTTGTCTGAATTCTCAGAAGTTCCTGCTTTTCACTGATTTAATTTAGACTGTGTGCTTGAAATCCACTTTCTTAGGTGGATGTCTATGAATTTGGAAGGCTACTGTGGACTCCCACATGAAAAATTTTTTGGTCAATGTATTTCACAAAATCTTCTGCCAAAAAAACCACTGCTCTTCCAAATGTAGTTGTCCTAAAAAAAGGAAAAAAGAGCATAGGGCTTCTGAATCTCAATTGTCAACACTTTTTTTACAGTGCAGAGACAACTGCTGTGAGCAGTAGTGTTAATTCTTCAGTTTCATGTGTATTTGGGGGAAAAAAATTATGGATAGACTCTTTCTCAGGGGCATTCTAATTAATTATGTTTTTGGCACATTATGAAAGAATGTGATGTTCTTTCATAAGTGCTTCCTTTCAACTTATACATTGTGCAAGGGTAGCAGCAGTTGAAAGCCAGATGAAAGACTGAAGAAAATTTTAAGTGTGGTTTTTTTTTTTTTATTTCTCTGTGTTCTTTTCTGATTATTACTGTAAGCTGTGATTTGGTGGAACAGGGTGACTGAAATTTTAGCATAGGAAAGAGAACACCTACAGCTGGAATAGCATTTCCTAAGACCACGGAGTCCATGGAAAAAGGGTAAGAGAAGTCATTGGAGGAGTTTAGATGTCTTCGGTATTTAGTCATGCCACGTTTAATTTTAATTACCTTTGAACAAAAGGCATTTCCTCTTCTAGCTCAGCATTTAGAGATGCTGGAAAGTGCTTTTGCTGACTCAAAAACTTGACCATTCTTTTTTTCCACCCTTTGTTCCTGCTTTCTTGTGGCTAACCGGCTGTTTTTGTTATTAGCAAAACAAAATTATTTTTGCCCCCACAAGTAGAAACCTGGGAATACTGCTGCAAGATGTGCAAAGTCATTTCTCGGTTGGGCAGCGAACACGGGGTTTGGTCACCATACTGTGGTCTCTGGCATTTTACATCCTGCTTTAAAAAAGCCTCAAAGAGTCTCAGTGAGGTAAAAGCAGGAACGTCCGTCTGTGAACGAAACCTCATGGCTGACGCCTAGGGAACGTGAGGGCCTGGAGTTTTGCTGTGACCCAGTTAGGAGCTGCAGCCCAGCAGCTTTGTCTCCTGTCGTTGGCCTTGTCTAATTAACAAAAATGAGTCCAGAGTTTTGATTTGGTCCCCTCGCTAAGGAGTTGGTTAGCAACGCTTACCCAAAATTTCTGGTGATTTAAATGGGAATTATCTGAGATTAGGGATACCAGTTTTAGAACCTCCTCTTTATAGGTGTAATGGCAAAATAGGTTGCATTGGCTGTTACTGAAAACCCCCTCTTTGACTGGTAGCTGTAGGACGTGGAGTAAATTTTCAGAACAGTGGACTTAATAGGACCTTTTCACTTGCTTAGAATATAGTATTTGCATATTACATGAAGATATTTCTGTAGCAAGAATTTAAATGTCCGTGTACCTTCTACCAATACCATGCGCTATTCTTCTGCCAAATCCTCTCTTACTGACTGATAGCTGAGTCGGAGCTGTGCCGGTGATTGCTGGATACACTGACCTGGGCATCTTCAGCCACGAAGCAGGTGGAGGTGGACACGGTGGCCTTCTTTGAAGCGCTCAGTCTCTGGGATAATGAATAGGTGGGGCTGCCCGACCCTCTGTCGGAGGCAGAATGCTGAAATTAAGTTTTTCTTTTTCCCACTATAGTAGTTATTTTCGGTCAGGAACAGGAATTGCAAGTACTTGGGGGAAAAAGACTTAAATGAAGCCATTAGAAACATTTTCCTACTGAAGTTATTAGTTTGGAGCACAAGTCTGTTAAAATAAGCAGCTGCTGCTTCAGGGAAAGAGGAATGAGCTACTGTGCTTTTCTTCTCTGTAAATTTCTCAGTTCAAGTGTGATTTAAATTGGGAGTGGGTACAATTTAGTTCATTTCATTCATTATATTAATTTGAGGCTTTCTCTGTAGCGCTTAGTGGTAGCATCTGAGCTACTCAATCCTGAAGTCCTTTAAAATGAAAGGTATCACTGATACCATTCTAATACTGCTTTAGCCAGTTCTTTTAGGAAGAAAAGAGCAAGGGATTGATTCTTTGTGTTGAGTATCTTTTTAACAAAGTGATTTTAGTAAACTCTCACATAAAGTCTAATGCACAGGTGAAAGGACTCAGGCTTTGGCCCAGCTCTAGCAGTGCTTTGACCCACAGTTTGACCTGTCCTGAGAGTGGCCCTTCTTTTACAGGATAAAAGTTGGACACCTAATACCCTGATTACTCCTAGGTTACATAGGTGTCTCAGAAGAGAGAGACTCATTTGATTGGACTTGTGTTACAGTGTGTAAAATAATTGAGAGCAGTGGGAAACACTGGCGTGTGTTCTGATTCAGGGCAGCAAGCATGGTGAGCAGGAACAGCAATGAGAAAGAGAGACCCTTCTCTGAGCAAATTAAGGATGGCTAGGTGGCGTTGGCAGTTAAATTCCTATTAGGTGTTTTATCCCTATGGTATAAAAAGATGATTCTCTTGCTTTTCTCATCAGTGTCTAAGAATAGCAGGAGATTGGAGAGGGAAAAATCTATTCTCTCAGGCTGAGTGCTATTTCCAGGATACAGGTAAGGGTCTGCTATACAGAAAGGGAGGACTTCTTTTTGAAATTTCTATTTTTTTTTAAAGCAAGTATCATTTTCACTTAGGGAAATTCAGAACCCAATTAGAAGTTTACCACTCAGCTGATGTTGCTGCTAATGAGCTGGGAATCCTGATCTGACCAGTGGGTATCACTAGCAAATGATAGGTCAATGTGGCTTTAATTGCTGTTATCTTTGTTCCGCTCTGGCTTTGCTTACTTGGCTCAGGCCACTGCTAAATTAATTAGCCTTGGGATAACTTTTCCTAGCAGTTGGTGGCCCGCAGCACTGCCTAACTGCACTATCAGGTACCTGGAGATACCTAGGAGCCTTAGAGGTATTAGAGCAATACCTTCTCCTTGGAAGCGTGCTCTGTGCTTAGACGTTACCTTGGCTAAGGGGAATGTCGTTGAGCTGCTCTAGTTGTGCCTGAGCATTTCTTTAGGCAGTACTGTCCACAGACTGCCGCTCTGCTATTTTTACAGCTTCTGTGTACTGTAGTAAGGTGCAGGATTTAGGTAAGAATTCATGAAGGTTTTTAAGAAATAATTAACCTCTCTACTGGTTTTGAGCTCTGTTATTCAAGTTACACAAAGTTGAAGGGGAATAGCAAGTTTCTGGGTAAGGGTATTTGTTAGAGGAGCTCTGTAGAGGAAAGAGTTACTGCTCGTACCACTGCTGACATCAATTAATTGACACCTTTGCACTTCACAGTCATAACCACTGCAGTGACTATATTTAAGAAACTCTCTCTGTCTGTATTTCAGCTGTTTGAGGTGGAAGAGATACATATGTAAACTGCAGTTGCATACCAAACATGGCACTTTATTTTTAAAATCTTCATGGAGGTCTTGCAACAGGAGCAAATAGTTCTTTAAGGGGTTTAAAAGAGTACCATGGCATTTCTTGTAAGAGAATTCAAAAACATTTCTGCCCCTTCTTTGGCTATTAAGCAAGCCTATAACCCAGCAAACTCCCGGATAAATATAAATGAATATTTTCAGCGTTTGCTGTGTAATTTTTATGAAAAAAATATGAGAATGTTGGCATGTGGAGTATGTTTTGCACGTGCTTAATGTATATCTCGACTTCCATGATGTGAGAGTTTGTTGTTGTTGTTTTTTGGGGTGCCTAACTGGGCACCGCTTCTTGTGTTCGTTCAACTTAATATTGTCCATATGCTTTTCCTAATGTTGAACCGTGCTTGCTGTTGCATTATTACCGGTTTGTCCCATCTTGCTGAACATGATGATCTGTCAAACATGTTTCTTTTTTTTCTTACATGTCCTCCCTGAGTTTACGTAAAAGTAGGACAAAGCATTTCTGTAGTAAAAAATGATGTGTTAAGAGTACCAAAGGGCTTGCTATAAGGTACCCAAGTGAAGATACGTAAGTCTGAGTGTAGTAACTGAAGAGAGCAGTGAAGCGCACCTTAGACTTGCCTGCACTAGATTGGTCTGCTTACATCCAGAGTAGCTAGCCAGTAAATAATTTAACACATACTGGTGTGGTGTGGATGGCGTGGAAAGTGATGCTGTCCTCTGTCCTTTTTTAACGTACACAGTTTTTTACTGTTCTTGAGGTGAACTCCTCAGTGGAGTGATTTAGAGAAACGTTAACAGGAATCCTAAACTGGCGATACTGGCATGGGAGGCGGGGGTCCAACACACGTGGCGTTTCAAGCTAGGCCTTAAAACACGTTAACTGTGGCGTGCTGTGTAATTAACTGCAGCTTGAATGTTCTCTGAAATGAATGTAGCCCATAAAGGTTAAGGTAACGACATGTTTTATCTTTGCATTTACAGTTTATTCTAGTGACATATACTTTATAGTATATATAACTATATAGTATAGTATATATAACTATATAGTATATATATAGTGACATATACTTTATAGTATAGTCACGTGTCTGTTCTTCATTCTTCAAACGTATTCCATACTCTTGTTCTAATGTTAGTTTGGTTTTGGATGTTTTTCTTGGCAGAATTACCAAAAAGCAGACCAAGACCGTATGGGTTAGTGATTCCAATCAGTACCAATGCAGACGGAAGCTATATCTCCAATATCCTCTCTGCAAGTCATCAAAGAAGATCAACACGGGAGGTATCCCAAAGCCCCAAACAACTGTATTTTAATGTCACTGCTTTTGGAAAGGAATTCCATCTCAGGCTGAAACCCAACACTCGTTTGGTGGCTCCCGAGGCAGTAGTGGAGTGGTACGAAGACTCTGTGGAAACTGGAAATGGAAATGACGCTGGCAACACAAGTCAGACTAGAACTGCTACAGAGAGGTTATGGAAGAGAGAGCCCCTGTGGACCAACTGTGCTTATGTTGGAGACATAACTGACATCCCTGGAGCTTCTGTTGCTATTAGCAATTGTGATGGTCTGGTAAGACTTATTCAGTGGCATGTGTGTCTGGTGTTTTATCCCTTTACAAGCAGATTTTCGTGCTATTGAGTACCCAGTAGTAATGATATCATTTGAAGAGTTTTGTTTTTTTTTAAATCCCCTAGAAAATGCATTAGTGCATACTTGATTTATACAGTCCTAGTGCTTTACTGTGACATAATTCGTTTGGTTTGGTGAACTAAGTTTTTATTCTGGCTGACACAAAAGAGAGAAATCATACCTGCTTTTTGGCTCATTTTAATTTTGTGAGGTCTTACAAACGGGAAAATGAATGATGAAGTTATTTTAACGCTTACAAGAAGACCTCTTGTTGAATGAGCGTAGAATCTGGCATCCAAATCCTCACTGTGTACTACTCATATGTAGCAAATTCACAGGCTGCTCTGTAGCCCAAGAGTAGCAACGGGTTTAAATTCTAAAGGGTTTTTTTCAATAAAAGAAGCTTACCTTTCGTTTTCCTACATGCAGTTCTGCTTCATCTGAAGGTATCATAAGAGAATTGAGTGGTTCATATCTATAAATAGTTGGTTCCCAAAACTATGCTAGCCTGATTGCTGTGTGAGTCAAAAATGTATGATATTTTCATTGTGGCTTCAGCAGATGCGGTGACTGGCTTGGTGCACAAATCCCATATTGAAAGACTGGACATACGTTGAGTACACATACCATTCATTAATTCAATCATGCGGTAAAGCAAGCTAACAATACTTACCTTGTACTCTTTAAGTAGCAGGAGCAGTGGTGGAACATGACTGCAACATCCAGGAAGATTAATGTAGCGGTTATTCTACTGCTGTTCAGGAGAGAAATCATATGAACAAGTCTGCAACAAGTATCCCTTCTTTGAAATATGTTTCCCTCTTGCTATCACGTGCCAGTTAATGACTTGATTCCATTTTGTGATAAGTACTGGCTAGCAAACCCCCATGCCTCTGGAATGTGCTTCTGCTGTACATAATTTCAGGTAAAGCAGTCACTGTATGAGTAATTGTATGTCTGTTTCAAAAACATGATTCGAGGCTTAGGGTTATGTGCAACTAAAACACTTTGACTTTCCTTAATTAAGTGAAGGAAATACTGGTGGTGTTTACACCTGAGGTTATCAACTTTTTATTTTTTTTAAGTAGTATCCGTTGAGAGCGTACTGCAGTTACAAAGGCTATGCAGACACCTGCATGTATACTGTGGAGGTAGCTCTCACAGTGAATGAGACCTTTGCATTGTGAGCTGTATTTTATCAGTAATCCTGAAGGAAGTTCTTCTATTAAGTGAGACAGCACTTTAAGACAGTGAATTGGATTAAGTGGAATTCAGTTAAGGTGTAGAGCAGTATCAGTAGAGATCGCCATGTGGCTGACAAGCTGCTCGTGTGGGGTTTCCAGTTAACTGAAATGAAGTAGTTGTTCTCTTTTCTAACCCCCACCCACATGTGTGAGCCAAAGAGAGCAGGTACCAAAAGCATCTTAAATAGAGGATAGGAGGTTTCCAGGTTGTGTGTGGCATGTTGTTACCCCTTCTGTCAGCACCGAGGAGAAGCTCCTCTGCTGCTTTGTGTGCTTTTGGAGAATGGTCTAGGAGAAAAGGCGCTTTTTGTTTAGGGAGGAGAATGGGTAAATGCTCCTGAAGCACTGTTGTCTCCATTCGTGTTGACCTGAGCTGTCGCATGCAGTCTTTGCGGGGCTTCTTCAAGGCCCTGAGCCACCCACCGCACAGATGGGTGAAAGCTAGCATGAAAGCATAGCCCCAGCGTGAAACGGGGGGTTACGGTAAACAGTGTTGACCTGACCCTGCTACCTGACACTGCTGCAGCTCCTCCAGCTCACCCTCGGGGCACAAAAGCCTCCTGGATATGTCGCCGTAAGACCTCCTTTTTTGGATGTTTTTACAGGAAGGGATAAGTTGATTTGGGTTGGTTCCACGGGCAGCAATTATGACAAGCTTTGATCTTTGTTCACCACGTTTCCGTGTGCGCATACCTTGTCAGGAGCAGACCTCGCTGCCACTGCAGCCGCTGCGCTGCAGTTGGCCCTGCTACCTGGGGACACGCTGGCTGGCGGAGAGCTGCTGCAGTGGCGTTGCTCCTCCTTGTTTCGGGCAACCAGATTGAGAACAGTTCACGTGTTGAAAACCATCTTTTTGGAGGACCTTTGCTTGCTTTCTTCACCCAGCTATTGCATTGGAGGACTTCTGCTTGCTTTCTTCATCGAGCTGTTTCATCAACAGTCTTTTGAGGCTCTAAGCAAATGAGTGTGAGATAAACAATCCTGAAGATTGGTGTGATTTCAGATTTTGTTTCTCCCACCAGCTCCAGGGCTAGCAGAAGTAATCGTAAGTTAGCATTTCAGGCTTCTGTGTTGCTGTGTTGCCTCTCTCAGCCAACCTAGAATATTTGATCCTCACTGTATCCTAAAGATGTGAAGGGTGAGTTAAATATGGCTTAACAGAAACTGGAACAACAGTGAGAAATTCTAGGACCATGTGTCTATTGGAAAGATTTATTTTCAACTTCAAAGGAATTTAGAAGCTTGCTAGTGTAGTCAGCTAAGTCCTTACCTTTTGGGAGAAAGAAAGGGAATGGTGATGGTAGCAATTCGCTCAATGTATAGCTTGTAAGGAGGTTTGATATCCTAAGTTACAGCCAAAGAACGCTTGGCTTGCCACAAGCTAGTGAAAGCTCTGGCAGATTTCCTTTTGTGCATAAGGAGATTTTTAATAAAGACTTGTAAGAGACTTGCTGATAGTTGAGCAAAATGGTGTGCTTCATAACTTGTACTTCATATACATTACTGTATTTCATATCATTTAGTTTTTGTTGTCAGCAAGAGGTGTATGGTTATTAGGAACATAGCAGAGCTAAATTCTGATTATTTGATTGTAAATATAAAGAATAATTGGGGTTTATACCAGTAACGTTAAGATTTTACCCATGGTCTGTTCCTGAATCTAAATTTACATTTAAAAACAAACTATTTGAATGCTTTGTTATGAAATGGTTTATTTATCTGTTGTTGCAGTAAGAGTCATGTGCGTGTTTTCAGTTTCGCAAATTCCTTTCTTCACATCTGTTTAATATCCCTTGAAAATAACCTCATTTGTTAGAAAAATTGTGTGCCTGTCCATGTACTTTTCTTGGCAAAAGAACACTTAATTAGTCATGGAGAAGCTATCTTTTTTTGTTGTTGTTGTTATTGTATGTTTAAAAAGTTATAGTGCTAGTGAGTAACTGACAGCTGCTATGACACGTAAGTGACAGCGTATAATAATAGTAAGAAATCTGTATTTCCCAGGTTCCTCATGTAGAAGTCAGGATGGGTGGATTTGTAATACTATCTAATACTAATTTTCACCTTACATTGAAAGGCTAGGGCTTCATTTTTGGAAAGGCTGTTTCCTCAGGTTTCTATGCTGTGTTTCTCCTGTTATTTCAGTCACAACAGCAGTATTTATGGTCTCAATATTTATAGAGTTTGTCAAATATTTGCCAGAGTTGCAGCAGAACTTATAACTGAGTTTTATTCATCAAGCAAAATCAGCCTTTCCAGATTGTGGATCATATGTGGAGCAATTCTGACTTGTCTTATATGCAGGGGGATTGTGTAGGTTGTAGTTCAAGGCAGAATATGGCCTCGCAGTAATTCACGGATACTCACAATAGTTAACACTGGCTGGTTTTGTCTCTTCCTTATTTTTTTATTGCTGAAATTCACTCTGCAAAGGCAGTCTTTTAAAGTTAAGATGGTGCTGTTGTAAAGCAGAAACATTGATCCGGCAGTGGGAAAGAAAGAATGCTGATGCAAAACCTGATACTTTTTCTTGTGTCGAGCTGACGTTAATCAACTGAAAGCAGCAACCGCCTTTGGCTCTGCGGGCTTGAGAGATTGAAGCCTGTGATCTTTTATTGGAGAGGGGCAGAAGAAGAAAAGCCCCTAATAACTTTGATCTACAGGTGATTATATCATAGTTTCATAGGCAGCAGCCTAGATCTAAGTCCACTGGTTGATGCTTTCCCTTTTCTTTATTTGGCTTTGGTTTGATAAATGTTCAGCGGCAGGATATGTTGGAACGATGGAGGGATGTACAATTGTACGGGCTTCACGAGGCCAAGAAGAAGGTTCAGTTTACCCGGCCAGTCCTTGCAGTGTACGTGTGCACCCATCACACATTCATAGTCCTGTAATTCTTCCATTCCCATTTCTTGCTCTGCCTCTGTCCTGCTTTTCCTCCCTTCCAGCACCTGTACAGCAGTATCTCGCATTTGTTGTCTTCTGCTGTCCATCTTGTTAGGCATGGACTTAACCAAGGTGAGTAGGTATCATTAACTGACAGGGCAAGCCTTCCTGCCGAAGTTGCACAGCCCCTTCCCTATTTAAAGCTGAGTAACGTCTTCCCTTTTGTCCTCTTGACAAAGATCAGACCATATAAACAGTCAGGAAGGACTTCATGGTGCCTTCTCTTCTGGTGAAGTGCAGGAATATATTTTGTGTGTCTCTGCAGTAAGTGAAATGTTTAATCTAATGTCTTTTCCTAAGAAAGGCAGTTAGTTCATTTCCTCCATGCTGGGAGCATTCCCAGGTGAGCATGTAAGGGATAGTATTTTTGTGTTTGACTGGAGTGATAAGTTTCCTATTCTAAGAAGCCAAGATGGTACAGTAGGTTTAATAGCTTAACTCTTTGGACGTTTATCTGACCTTGCAGTTTTGTGCTAAGAAGGAATCAGCGTGCTTCTAGAGGAGCATGTGGTTTTAGCAAAGCAGGAAATAATTGCAAGATGTTTCAAGGGGGAGGTGGAACTAGCGCAGTTCGGTGCAGATTTAGTAGAAGGCAGTTTTTGACAGATTGCTTGTGCCTGGTGCAGTACTGTACCTGCTGCAGAAGATGAAAAATAGCAACTTCAGAAAAGCGTTATAAATGTTCCAGATTGTAAACAAAGATAATACAGCAAACTTTACCTTTAAAAATATCAAGGTAGAAAGTCTTAA